CCCCGCCCCGCCCCGCCGCGCTGCTTGACACCTGTTCAGGAAGTGTCCTCGGGGCCGATGCAGAGAGCCATCGCGAGCCAGCGGGCTCTTTACGACGCGTGACAGCTGTATACCTCTGCTCTCGATTACTCATCTTCGTTATCCTGTAGCCGTAAATATAAACTCTTAGTGCGTGTAATAAAGTGCGGACGACTGGCTTGGTCGCCGGAAATACGATGCCTATTCGTTGCCCTAGTAACGTTGCTTTTTATATTCGTAACGACGCTTGTATTTGTGCCATACAATTTATTTGACATCGCTCTGTCTGTAGCTAAAGCTGCCACTACATTTCCTGCATTTCTTTTCTCATTTGCGGTAAGAAATTTAGAAAAGAAATGAGACCACAAAATGAACGTTAAATTAGGATTTTTAAAGCCTTGTTCTCTTATTATTTTATTTTACAAAACTTATTCCTGCAAATGAACTCTTCATTTCTGGAAAGCTATTTTGTGGCCAGTTTTATGTAGTTAAAAAACGGTAAAATTCTTATAATGTGGGATAAGGTAAAAACTACGATTGCGGAAAGAATTGAAATGTCAATAAAATAATAGTAGTATTAAAGGTAATAATATGTTTATTTGTAGAAGATTTATCTATGAAATACTCGGTTAAATGTCGCCTATCATTCCCCATTTTATCTTTCTACGAATGTGCTATATTAATCTGTGTATATCTTGACTCTAAGAATAATGTTTCCTTAAGCTGGCAAAGGCTATGAACGGAAATGGAGGGCACTGAACTCTCTCGCACCAGTATTACAGATCCTGAACAGTGATTATTTTAGTTTTCGAAATGAGTGGTAGAGATTGTGATATTTGTGAATGAATGTAGCACCTGCATCGAAATCTTCCTATCGATATAAAAAACACTACCGGCTTATACTAAACCATGAGCGGTGCGTGTGCTGTTCCCTGGCGGAGCGAGGGTGCACGTGCGCAATGTCTTTCTGCCGCGCGGGGATCGAACCGCGCACCTGCGGCTGTTGGTCGTGTAGCGCGCAGGTGGCTGCGCCCCGTTGTCTTAATTGCCTGCGCGGCGCGACGAGACGCGACGCAGCCTGTCGTTCCGCGCCGCCGCGGGCGGGGAGGCCGCAGGTTCGAACTCCCCCGTCCCCCCGCGAACCGATAGTTGTGGTGTCGGGGAAGTGAGCGAGACTTCCTCTGGATGCGTGGATAATATAGCCTTCGCTTCCTATTTCTTTTCATCAGTTTTAATATTGTTGTGAAACTTGTTTTGATTGATGGATGCATATAATTTACGCGCAAAGGTATTTGTATGAATGCCTGGACGTATATTGGCTTATATGGCACTTGGAATGCCATTACGAAATTGCAATGATTCTAGCTAAGAGGAAAATCATAATAATTGAATTAGTTAGATATGAAGGGACACTTAGCTTTCCCGCATCGATATTTCAAATTCTTGAACTGTCCACGTTTTCTTTTTCGACATTAGTGGTAGAGATTAAGATTTTTGGCATTTTGGCATTTTTTGGCGGGATTTTTCCTTCTAAGCTTGCAGATCACCACCGCAGCCGGGATAACATGTGTGGTAGAGTAGTGAATAAGTGTGTGTGTGTGTGTGTGTGTGTGTGTGTGTGTGTAAGGGAAGAGGTGGGGACAAGGATGAGGAAGGGAGGAACGCGCGCTGCAAACGACCCGCTCCTCGGGCCGCCAGGACTCTCGTCTGGCGCAGCCGTTGAGGGCTGCATGCGTGACGCGAGCGTGACGCGAACGTGACGCGTGTTGCAGTGAAGCCGCGCGGCGAGGGCGGCAAGGACCTGGTGCTGTCGAGCGTGCCGTCGGCGCCGTCGGACGTGTTCTGCTCGGTGCCCGGCCGCCTGTCGCTGCTCTCCTCCACCAGCAAGTACAAGGTGACGGTGGGCGAGGTGCAGCGCCGCCTGTCGCCGCCCGAGTGCCTCAACGCCTCGCTGCTCGGCGGCGTCCTGCGTCGGTTAGTACCTCTTCACTGCTTCATAGCATTTTAAAAGGTTCTTCATACACAAGTACTGTTTAGTGCGTCAGGAAAGTCCCTCCGCACTGAGCCGAGTCAGGGTGTCGTATTAAAATTTGCATGTATATCGGTAGCAACTAGATTACTGGGAAAAGAGTACCCCTAGCATCTCTTATAATTGCAATTTAGGTTTTACAAGCTGCAGCTCCTGCTGCCAACATAATTTCCTTTACTAGCACTCTCACCAGCAAAATGACACTGGAGAGACTTTCCTGGCGGGCTGTACTTCTGCTTCTGAAGCAATGAACCCCCATCTCGATCAGGCTTTTGCCCACTTTCCCTGATCCATTGACAGAATACTAAAATAGTCTCTTGTTTTAATTCTGAACGTAAATGTACCTTCACTAAGCGTACATTTCTTTGAGCTCACCTTTTGTGGGTTTTTTTCTTTTCTTTTTTCTTTTTTTTTCTTTCGAATGAGTTGAGCGGGAAGTATGGGTTACTATTTTCTTATTAACACTAACTGCATTATGTTCGTTTACCAAGTCAAACAGTTTTCTGCCACTCGGGAGCGAAAATATATATTTTTAAATGTTACTAACCTTGCTTTGTTGGTACTTTTATTTATTAGTTGAACTATTTACGTTGAAAATGTGGGAAGGAATTCCAGAGCTCGTAAAAACGTGAGCAGATTGTACTTCGCCCGCATACGTCACATACTGTTTTTACTGTTCATCGAGAAATAAAATCAAAACAAATGAAATCTATAGCTTCGTCACTATCGCCTCTTCTACTCTCACTTACAGCAACAATTTCGAAGGGTTTTAGCTCTCAATTTTTCTTGGCTATACTGGGACTCAGTCACTACTTCAATGTTTTCCTAGTCTTTGCAAAAGCATTTATCACAAATACTTAATAAAATGAATGTAAAGCAGACGAGTTTGATAAAATAAAAATACAAAATATATATAAAACAATTATTAGCCACACCACATGAAAATTACAAAAATATTTTTTTTAAATTTATTTGTAGCTGCGTTCGCAGTATAATTTCAGTTATGAAATTGTCGAAATAATTTCCCCCTTGCCATGAAATTGTTCTTTCACCATAATTCATGTTCGAGGTGTGAAGAATATTACTGTAATCGTTGATCATTGACACAGTGAAATCTTACCCTACTGCCTTTTATTTCACGACAATCACATGCCACATTAAGATTCCTGCAATACTTGGTCAAATGCACCGTGCAATTCAGCCAGAATTGTCGTAACTGTGAATTTACGATCAGGTGGCAAGACGTGCGTGCTTGCATTGTCTTGGATACTGGATGTGTTGTTACGTTCATTTCTGCGAGGGCAAATGTCACGTTGCCACACGAATGAAAGTCTACATTTGCACTTCGTGAAGCGACAAAGTTTCACTGCCCAGAACAAGTTTTTCTCCCATGGATAATGAATGAGATTGCCATTTCGCATGTAGGCTTTAGAGATGGAGGATATGAATATGTCATTGACATAGACGTGCGCCAAGTATTCATTTCCGCCCTATAGTGTCACTGTGTAATTATCAAAGTTTCGATGAACCACAAGACCACAAGAAAAACGCAAAATGTAATGATGCGTTCCCAAGGATATCAAATGAAAGTCTAATGAGAATGTCGTATTGTAATTACACATGAAATAAATGAATCACCAATGATTATTTTCATAAGTTAATAGTCAATACAACAATACTTTTTAATACTTATTTACTTGCGTAAATTGCGTTCAAATGAATTGTATAAGAAAGCTAAATTTTTGTCAAGTACAGTAGAATCACGGTAATCCGAACTAATTGGGGGTGTAGTATGTTCGGATTCGAAAAAGTTCGGAGTATCCGAAAAAATGTACCTATAGGATATCGATAGGATTACCAGATACAACGCCTCGTAGCGTGTGATGTAAGAAATTGGCAATGTAGCGTAGTGACATGAAGAAATGGCAATGTTGAGAACAACTGGGTACAGTACGTATATAACCAACCGCATGCGGTAGTGGTTGCTACATTGTTTAGAAGCATAGTTTGTGTCGTTGCTGTAAATGGGTATCCTACGTACAGTATTCAGGGAAAAAATTGTTGACTTACACTGTGTTTACGCTTTCTCATTCATAAATTAGTACAAATCATTATATGATACACCGTATAGTACAACGCCCGTATAGAATACAGTGTACCGCAATAAACGATTCATTCAACTAGTATTTCAAAAATTAGTTGTTCAGTTCTCCTGTAATTATACAATCGTGTATTTTTTACACTACAAAAACATTTATTTTGTTTATTTTTTCCTATATCTCGAGTTCGGATTATCCGAAATTTCGGATTTTAATCGTTTGGATTTGCGGGTTTCTACTGAATGTGAAAGACTAATCATAATATTTGTTTGTTTTTATATCTGATATCTTAAATATATCAATACCATACAAAACTTCTATTATAGAGGTTAGTTTCAAGTAATATTTGGGTTAAAAATAAAATATTGAGAACATTTCTTGGGGATATGCATTTGACTGTCTCTATGAAATACGCTATAATAAAATAAAGAAGGAAAATAAACACGTACTTATCTAAGAACTGCAGTTCTCAGAACAGATATGTAATTTATATTCCATGCTACCGGAGCGACAACCAGGCGAGCTATTACAAGATATGCATCAACATATCAATTTTTGATGAGAAAGGCTTATTCCAAGAAGAAATTACTGCGTAATGACCAACCCGAATTCTCGCTAACCAGAACACGCATATTCGTTTCGGAACTTTTCCCGAACGAGATGAGTTCTTGCTTTATATTATACGTCCTAAATACACGGTTGAAAACTTAATATCGTAGAATTAAGGTCACAAATTTTGCATTAGGCGTTTAAATTACACCACAGTACGTATATTAGAACATACTTCGTGAAAGCGAAGATTATACAGTCTTTAGAAGCTAAGAAATATGATTATTGTTACTATTGTTTTTATTGTTACTATTACACCTTAACCCTTTAAAATTAATGTAATGAATATGTATCGCAATCATAATCCATTCCTATGTTGAACTGATTCCTAGAAATCGAATTAATGGGCTTTATGAGATTAGTTAAAATGTATCCAAAGTTTAAGATGTAGAATATATTAAAATTGTATGATAGTGGAAGATTGAACACCTGTACAAATTTCTACTAAGAGATTGACTTCCTTTTTCCAGAATGTATATTATTAGTTTCTATTTAACGAAAAAATTGGAAGAAAAATATGCAGTCTCTGGCCATGTGAGAAGTGTTTGTTTTTGTTAAACGCTGAGGATCGAGGGAACAATACAAAAACATGAGAGTGTTGTATTTGATTGAAAATGTAAATATATGATTGCTATTCCATCGATTCTCACAACGAGCGAACGACTGAATTCTCATACTTTGTGCATGACTGCTTGCAACATAGCTGACTCGTGCGACAGTGAGGCTCCAAGGAAGGGGTCGCCGTCTTTAAATATGTGCTCTTAATGATTTGCATGGTTATACGAGAGTGTTTTATTTGTAGTATTGAGCTGAGTGCGTTCTCCTTTTTAGAAAAAAGCTGCTACTAGTAATAATAAATGCAAGCCACTAGTAATAATAATGATCCGTTGCTTCATTGCACTTACAATCACCAGATATAATTATAAACACTACAAATATCCTTAAACTTTACTCTTTGGAACGTACTCTGATCTGAATTGCATGCAATTTGTTTATAATGAAATGACTTACGACTTACGACTTACCTATTTAGGAAACACAAACTCATTCACTTATATTGACAATTTACTCTGGAACAGAAGTAAACAAAATGAAGTTTCATACATGGAACTACGTGCGAAACGTGGCGGGGTGCTAAAGAAACCAGTGTATTGAAATGAAAGAATCGTCTTTACATATCCTACGGAAACTATGAAAGTGAATATTTTTGGCCTCTTGCTTAACACTTTACATCTGACATCTATTCGTATTAATTTTACCAAAATGCTTCTATACGCGTGTTTTTTCATCAATCTTGTTTTCGCAACGTTTCGCCGCGCCTTTTGATGTAAAATGTTTAGTTGTAATGTGCCTTTTTAAAAAAAGCATTATTTACTTTGCCTTTACAATAAAGAAAACAAAATGACTTAAATGACAATTTGCTGTAACTTTTCAAGTACTTTAGGAATTTCCTAAAATGATTGTTACGATATGTAACACTCTAGCGTGCAACTCTCGATGTGTCCTGCTTCAAGAGTTGAGTGTTGTATAGTAGTTCATTCAATGTTTGAATAGCAGAAGTATGAGAGCTTAATGGCATTGGATCCAAGTATTAGAAGACAAATGGCAACCCTAATGAATTGTTGCAAACGAAGCGAGCCACGAAATGTGTTCGCTGCCCTCGGCGCCGAGGCCTGTCCCGCGAGGGCAGTGTGGTTGAGCAGCGCTGGGGCCGCGGAGGTGAGGTCGCGGGTACTGTTATGATGAAGCTGCCTGCTCCTTGCTCCTTCGCCGTCACTTCCCGCCAGGGCTGCCCAGTCGGTGCGCGCGGGAAGATATGCAGTGTCTGCGAGATGACCCGCATGCCATGCGGGTAGTATACAGATTTGATCCCCTTCTAAGTAAGATTTTAATACCATCGCTTTTACTTTAGAAATTAGGATATGCAAAATTATTGAAACTGGGGCGTTTTATGTGTTAGAAGAGCAATATCAGGGAATTTCTAAATCAAAAACGTGGCGCTCATCAGTATCTTAAAGAAAAAAATTAAAAAATTCACAATCTGACACATCAGCACAAGAGATGTTTAGAAAGATTTTGGTTTGTCTAAAAAAATCAGCCTTTTAGTAATCGTCGACTTAAGTTGAGTTAATTATACTATTTCTGCGTAAGTTACGCCTACTACAAACGTAGTAGGATAGTCAAAACGACAGATCCGAGCGTTATCTTAAATAACTTAAAATGGATTGCACACCTAT